CTGGGGCTGCCCGGCAGTTGCACTTGCGACCACTCAGCCAACAAGGCAGTCAACAAGTTATTTTGTATTGTATTACAATGAGATATAGAGTTCATGTTACTTTATTTCGAAAATTTGCGAAGCGGGTTTGCAGATACTGAAAGTTTTAGCTTATGCATAAACAGCGTTTACTTGAATAAAACAATCTAACTTTTTACTCATGCTTAGTAATCAAAACTTTTACTTTTGTTCGCTACGAAAACGGCTACGACTGCTACGAAATTTCGTAGCACTGGTATGTTTTACTAGGTATTTTTTTACGGAGATATCGAAGGTTTTAATCGAAATATATGTCTATAACATGCATTTGCATATCATTTTAAGTGGCATGAACAAGTATTAAATTAAGAATGGCGACTAGAATAATAATCATTTCCAAGGAAAAAGCAACATCAAACAAAATATTATTATCAACATTTTATTGGTCCTTTATGAATAATCAGCATAATTATATTGAGTTGTCGATGTTTTGATTAGCAACACACGTTCATTTCACAGTACATCTTTAATATAGGAGATGGATAGATATATCTATCAGCTCGTATTACAGCATCTGGAACAACGAAAAATAATATTTTGTTATTTTGTTCAGATATATAAAATAATTAAAACACGACCTTAACAAAATAATTCAGCGGAACTAAATAATTCGATTTGAGGTCCATACATTATAATTATTTACATAATTAGTTCCAGGACTGGTATATGGCAAATTTTTGAAGTCCACAAATTGTTACATAATAGTCAGTCTTTCAAACACAAGACCGCTAGCTATACTATATTTATTTTACAACTATATTTATTAATTGTAACTTTCAAATGTTATGTAATATTCTATAGCTATAATTAGTTTGTTCATGAATAATAGTTGCTATCATTTAATGATTCACAACCCAAAACCACAATGCAAAATGTGTTGCTGAAATAGAATCGTAGGCATGTCAGAACTGTACATTGAATATTGTTTTTAACAAATAATTATAATAATAAATAATAAAATTTATTTATAATTCAAAAATGCAAAATACAAAATATATTTCAAGTAAGTAAAATTGATCTCATAAGTAAAGTTAGATGCCTGTACTAGGACAATCCTGTATCGCAGGCGAAAGGAGCTCTATACATTACTCTTTTAGGAAGACATCTTATTTCTAAAAACGTATTATATGTAAATATGCTTGGGGCGTGGTCTTAAATCGATATCGAAGCCAGAAATATAGTTTTTAGAATTTTTGTCTATTTGTCCGTATGTATATCCAGTCTAAACTCAAAAAGTACTAGGTACATGGATTTATTTATTTATTTATTTATTTACTTATTTATGTACACACATTCAACACAGAGGACAACACATATATAAAAACAGAGTACATAGGCCCCACATATTCCAACTGGAATCTCTTCCTGTGGGCCTGTGGCAGGAAAAGATATAACAACACTGAGACACATAGTGTGTTACACAAACAATAAAAAAAAAATAATAATAATAATAACGAAGAAACCGATAGAAATAACAATAATAAACAATAAAACAAACTAATACAATGCTATTATACAAAAAGAAATAAAAAAAATAACCTTTATATAAATATACCTTTATATACATATATAACTATAAACCTTTATATATATATAAATATAAACAAAAAGATCTATATTTCAGGAGGAAAGATAATGTTCTCTCACTTGTCTCTTAAAGATAGAGATTGACTTGGCATCCCGAATGTTCGGCGGGAGTGAGTTCCATAGTCTCACTGCATGAACGGAGAAGGAGTAGGAGTAGAAGTTGGTATTATGGGGCACAATTTTTAGATAGGATTTAAGATGAGAACGAGTAAGGACTTCAGGAGGACGCACCAAGGAGAAACGGTCTCGGAGATAAGTAGGATAGGCTGGGTTGAACAGGATGTTATAGAGGATATAGATTTACTTAAAATTTTGCATGAATATTACTAACAAGTTGGGTCAACATATAGAGGTAGATCTACATATTATCACGCTATCACCTGTAGGTGATAGCAAGAGAGGAGCTGTGAATCACTGTTCCTTGCGGAAATAGTCGCGGTCGCAGCTAGTTTTGAAATAATTAAAATATATTCATATTGATATAATGAATATGAATTCAAATTACACCTTTTTTAAAAATAAACTTTTGATTATTATATTTTCAGCTTTCTGACCTAACGCTTTGGCGAGAAACTCGATTAGTTTCAAGCCATGCTTAAGGCTCTTATTCATGTACAGCATAATTCAGTATGTTTAACGAAGGTTTTATTATAAATAAGTTTTTACATGCTTTTTAGAGCTGAACAATATAGTCATGCAAAGTGGACACAAAATTTCAGTTCAATCGATAAAAAAGTATAGATCAATCTTTCAACAGCTTTGAATTTGAACTCAATCGGTTAAAATAATCTACTTAAAATTTAGTTGCAAGATTCCACTTCACTTTTAAGTGTAAGTTACTTATTGCCAGTTAAATAAAAGTTTGTGATAAAGAAATATATTTTTTGTTAGTATTGCCAACGTGCCGCACAATATACTAAGTAGATTAATATTAGAAGCTACAATATTTTTTTTTGGTATAGCTTGTATTATTATGCACAAATGACAGCATTTCAATAAGTTGAAGAGAAATATGGAAATTAGGCCACGATTTTATAAAACTAAGCATCGACTATTAGATGCAAAAACTTGTTATCAATAAATGTGTAAAACATTTTTTATTTAAAACTTAGTCTTTGTGTTTCTTGCATACATAAAATATGTGATATCTTTGCTTGAAACCAGTTTCCGATTAAAGTGAACACTCAAAATGTCAAATGTCATGATTTTAAACATTCAATGGACATTTCATAATAATTATTATGAATTTAAATTCCAACGACGTTATTAAAGCACCTTTTTGTTTTATTTATTTTAATAAAAACGTGACTTCATACTATGATTTTATTATTTATGATTGGTATTTATTTATGATCATAAATTTAGTTCTTTACACGCAACACGTTTCGCAGCAGCCGAATTATCCAACCAGTGCTCAATCGTGTAATCAAATAATGTCGTTATTGTCTTATAATTTCTTTTTCTTTTCTTTTATTTTAAAAACGATGTCCCTTCACTGGGGTGTTTTCCTGTGTTGTGGGTACTTTTACAAATTTGGTAGTGTACCACAAATGGTCGAATAAGGATGGAGAACTAAGTACATGATCATTTGTATTTATCCGTATAATACACAATAATCCCAGTTCTTATACACATTTAATCAAAAACTTTAACGGATCATGAAAATTAGCATACAGTGGCTTTATTTTTAAATTCAAAACTGCTTTTATCCATACACAATTGCAACATATGATTAATAAAACACCACAAACTTATAATTATTTAATTCAAATTTATCGAAGTATCGGTATACATGTCTAACTACAAACTTGCCATAATTAAACTATAATGAAATTGTTTTCTCAATCGTGAAAGTGCAACATGTAATGAAATATATGATAAAAGTACTCACTCCTTTGGCGAAGCACCGGTCACTGACCCTTATGTGTCCAGGCGGACACTTCACTAGTTTGGTAAAATTCCTAGCGCTGGCAAATCCAATGACCAACGCAGACACCACGACAAACAACATAACATACACCTTCATCTTAACAACATATATACGAATGATGACATATCACACATGGAAACTACTTTATACAAATCCCAAACATAAATTACTAATAATTTAATGTTCTCGAAAGTTTATATCTATTTTTACCTCAATCGAAGGACGCGATCACGTTTCTGTATATTTTAGTAATTATATAACTCGGAACTGTTTACATTTATGCGGCGTTCGCTTAAAATATTTGTGTAAATGCAAATAGATTTGATTGACCTTATCGGTGCAAAGGAGATTATATTGACGTCTTTATTGAATTAGCGTCATCTTAGACAGGACTTTCCTTAAGAACTTAAAAAGTGATTAAAGTCTAAGCAGGAACGTGCTACATTAATTTTAATACTTGGCACTATATGAGTTCTGTTTATAGAGATAAAAATGTGAGTTTACAATAACCATATTAGTTGCTGGGATATGCAAATCAAAAATCTAATTAGCCTGTCAGATAATGAAAAAATAAAAGACATGTATTTTTTATTTTTCAGTAAAAAGAAACAATACTCAGATCAAATAGCGTTAAGTTTAGGAATGGGAAGTCGTAACCTCACAACATGCTACAAAATGCAGCACGCTGTGACGTCACACGGGATTTCAAATTAATATATCGTCGAAAGTATTTAATTTGGTAAGAAAAGAAAAAATACGTGTCTAATGCTTTAAATTAATCTACCAGACGGACATTATAATAGAATACTCCTAAATCCCCAAGCGGTCTCCGGTGACCGCTCTCCACTAACTACATACATTATAGATCTTATTGCTGATGCTTAAAGACTACTTTTGTATGAACAAATTTAAGGGACGATATTTAAACAAGTTAAGAAACTACCCTATTTATGCACAGCTTGGCAAAAAAGAGTTTAGAATAATTGAGGTCGTTAGAATCGTACCTGTAACAAACTGGCACACTACGACTCAACCGGTTTTCGTATTTGTTATTTTTAGCGAGTTTAAAAAGAGGAGATACTATGTTCAGTTGATTATATATTCCTGG